AGTACATATGTTGTACATAGGATTGTACAGAAGTCGCAAGCAAATCCACGGCACATAACAACATGATTCATCTGAAATTGGACAGTGAATAAGGATGACAGAAGAATTAATGCCTTTGAATTGTGTGGAAGAAGAGTGCTGAAATATCATGGACTGTCAAAAGAACAAACAAATCTGTTTTGGAAGAAGTGCGGTAAGAATGCTCCTTAGAGGCAAAGTGGAATTTCATCTTTGGGCATATTTTTCAGTGAAACCAGTCCTTAAGAAACATTATGCTGGTAGGGAGCTCTGGTGGTCTAGTGGCAAGAAGCTCTACTGCAATCCCAGAAGTAAGTGGTTCGAATCAACCAGATGCTCTGCTCAAGAAGGAGGGGTAAACTCCTGTACCAGTCAGATCCCATTTAACAGTACACAGACACACACAAAATAATAAAATTTAAAAAAGGAAAAAGAAACATGTAGGGGAGCTCTGATGGCCTGGTGGTAAGAAGCTGCCCTGCAATCCCGAAGGTGGGCTGTTCGAATCCACCAGATGCTCTGCTGGAGAAGGAGGGGCAGTCTCCTCCTGTGCCAGACAGATTGGATTTGATGACATATAACAAATTAAAAAAAAGAAAAGAAACATTATGCTGGGAAAGTTAGAGAGTTGGAGTGGAATCCCTCAGTGAGAGGAAGGTCCTCAGTGGAATGGGTCCATCTAGTGACTACCACAGTGGACTTGAGCATGACAGAGGTCATGAGGATGGGGCAGGACAGGGCAGGAGGCAGGGTTCACAGGGCTACCAGCTATTCGTCGTAGCTGACTTGATGGTGCTTAAAAACAACAGTCTCTAGAAATAAGGGAGCTTTGATGACATAGTAAGAAGTTGTACTGCCAACCCAAAGACAGGTGGTTCAAGTCCACCTGCTGCTCCTTGGGAGAAAAGGAGTAGTTTATCCTTTGGTGCGATTTATAACATCTGAACACCCACTGGAGGGTGATTTGTGAGTAGGCACTAACTGGTAACAGTGAGCTGAGTTGTCTAGAAAAGGCGCTCTGATGGTATAGCGTGTAGGGATTTGCACTGCATACCTCATGGCTGAGCCTCTGGCAGTTCATACCCACCAGCTGCTCGTCGGAAGCAAGGTGGGCATTCTCCTTCCTGTGATTTACAGCCTCAGAAACCGGCTGGAGGGTCAGCTACGAGTGGTTTCAGTTCCCTGCCAATGAGAGAGTGTACAGACATGCAGTTGGGTTTTTGTTAGTTCTCTTATCTCCTACTAAATTGGAAAATCATCTGCAGAAAACTTAAGATTCATACCTCACACAAAAACTAAAAGTGGATCAAGGACCTAGGAGTAAAACCAAAGACTATAAAATTTATCAGAGGAAAGCTAGCAGCAACTCTGGAAGCCCTAATCCACAGCAAGAACTGACTTCCAAACATAGTAAAAAAAACCTACTATCTGAGTAAAATAGGTGAATGGCAAAAAAAAAGTTTGCTGGATGATTGAGGAAACCAGAGGCTTCTTGCATTTGTGCTCTTGAATTGAACCTGGACACAGCTGTCCACTGTGTGCTCATGTTGGCGTCAGAACAGTGCTGAACTAGAATGATCACAGACTTTCCTTTTAAGTGTTTGCAGATGTCTGTTGGTCCAGCCCTCAGAGAAGTCCCAGGACTAGCTAGTGTGTTTCTTTCTATTCAGGTTTTGTAGTCAAGTTTTGTGTTTACTTTGGTGATTTGCTCGCTTGTGCGCACGCTCGCTCGCTCGCTCTGTGTACATTTATAGATACATACATACATACAGGAAATAAGGAGACATGTATCACTGAGAAAATCTGCAGTTAGGAACCTCTCCAAATTATTGAGGAGGAATGTCAGTTTGAGGACTAAGGTGCGTCTGATTCAGGACAGAGTCTTTCTGATCACTTGCTGTATATCTGAGATCTGGACAGTGAATAAGGATGACAGAAGAATTGACGCCTTTGAGCTGTGGTGTTGGAGAAGAGCACTGAACATTCCATGGACGGCCAGGAGAACATACAGATATATTTTGGAGAGGGTGCAGCTGGTGTGCTCTTTGGAGACAAGAATGATGAGGTTTCGCCTTACATACTTTAAGCATGTTGCTAGAAGGTGCTATTCTGCTGTGAAGGGTGTGGTTCGGTGAAGGAGAGTAAGACCCTTACCAGGTGGATTGACACTATGACTCCTTCAGTGGGCTCTTGTGTATCAGGAAGTATGAGGATGGCACAGGATAGAGCAGGGTTCAGATCTTTCAGTCGTAGGGTCACTGTGAGTCGTTCTTGACTCAGTGACACCTAACAACAGCAGCATATATACACACACACACTTTAATTATAATATCTTGATATATCTAATATATATTTAAGACTTTGTCTAATCTATGTTAAAATAACTTATTTTTATTCACATGGCATATTACCTATTTGTTGTCATAGACTTTGTTGATAACAATCTCTTTAAATTCTTTTATTTTCTGAAGTGTCAGTAGTGATTCCCTGTCTTCCACTCCTGATTATTTTGTTACATGTTTTCTTGTGATTTGAGAGAAAACTTATAGAGGAAATTGATTTCCCATATGACAGTTCACACACTTCAGGGTCCTTAACAATGACTAGAATCTCCCGCTTTGTAACACTGACAGTTCCCACATGTCTGGGTCCTTGACAGTGACTGAAATCCCCATGTTTTAACACTGACAGACAGTTCCCACACGTTGAGGTCCTTGACAGTGATTGGAATCCCTGCGTTGTAACATCTCCCATATTTTCCCTGTGTTGCCTTTGCTGCTTATCCTTTCCTTCTTTTTCTGCCTCCGGAGTTTTGCGTCTGGACCAGTGCTGCCCCTTGTCTCTGAATTACTGATTGTCCTGAGGATCACGAGCCTCCTGGATGTTCCTCATCACTGACAGGCCGGAAGCTCAATGATGGGGTCTGTCTCATCTTCAAGCTAGAAAGCTTCCTGAGGGCCATTTGCTTGGAACTCCACCTTGCTAGACGAGGAAGCCTGGTCTGCGTGGTTTTTAGTTGTGTTCTCCGGTTTTCTTCCCTTCTATCCAAGACCATCTATTAGGATTCCTCTCACTGAGGAGCGGCCTTGATGTGTCCATAGGGAGTTGCACTGACCCAGAGCCGGTGGTGGGCACCATTCAGCTCTCATCTCAAATCATGGAGACTAAAGTTGATGTGGCCCTTAGTCCTATGGACACTATCTTTGACCAACTTTGCTTTGAGTGGCGAGAGACCAGTAGTTGTTCCCTAATGGCTTGTTCTTTCAGTTGACCTTAATGTCCTCTGTGGTCATGGTCCTGTGGTCCCAGACCAAATGGCTCATTTGCTCAAGGCGTTTGGTTATTCCTGTGAAGTGTCACTGTTCTGCCTCATGTGTTGTATTGTGTATGTGAGCCTGCTTATAGCACGTAGAGATGGATTTAGAAATACCATCTGCTACACTTGTCCGGTCCCTGCTGTGACTCATTCACTGCACACTGCTCATCTCGCCTGTCCGGCAGGGTCCACTGAATAGAGAGGCCTTGCTGTGTCTGTAGGGAGTTTCACGGACCCAAAGCCGGCACCTCTTGGCAGCTCAAATTCAATAGCTGCTCTAAGGGAAACAGATGAACTGGCTCTTTATTGCCATTTGCTGCCTCCAAACCCCATGGAGGATGAGGTGCATGTGTGCCCGTGCTCTGCCGTGTGTCTTCCTGTCTGCTTAACCCCCTGGAGGGTGAGATGCCTGTGTACCTGTCCCTCTGCACTGCTGTGTCTTCCTGTCAGCTCAGTGCTGTGTTCCTCACTCCTGCTGTTTGCTCCTGGCCCTTCATTCACTTCTGTCACTGCAGACCATCAAGGACTGTTCCTCCTGCTGTCAGACTCCCCAGAAGCTTTCATAGCAGGAACTCAGACAGTGTTTATCCTTTCACTGGATTGATTTCACATAACGTCCTCCCCATCTGTACCATGAGGTGTTTCGCAGATTCTGCATTGTTCTTTACCATCACCCAGGATTTCATTGAGTGTGGATTATGTGGTGCCGTTTCTCCTTTCGTGTGTTGCTCAGGAGGTCTGGTGACAGTTCATGACAAGTTGTCCTGCTCTCCAAAAGCCCCTTTGTCTCTTTGACAGTTCTCAACCAGCAGTGCTTCCCTCAGAAGAAGATGGGCAGTGTCAGTACGATTTACAGCCTTGGGCCTCAAACAGAACGCAGAGGCTGCCCTGGGTCAGGGTGGACGGTTAGTCAGTGAGGTTCCCTGTGGTGGCTTCACAGGGGGCAGCTGTTAAGGGAGCAGCTTGTGTGGACAGGGTGCTCTGCCATGTCTGTGTAGTTAGAGAAATCACGAAGGAGGCCTCACTTGTCCTCCTCTATCCTGTGCCTCCCGCTCTCCTGTGGCCCCCAGCCTCCCATCTTCCCGTGTCCTCTGGTCCCCGCCCTCCCGTGCTCAGTAGCTGATGACCATTAAGACTCCGGAAGTTTGCAACTTAAAGTTTCAGTTCATTTCTCTGATGTTCAGAGTCTGTGTTACTGGACGCATCTCCAGGGTAGCCACTTTGAGTCTTGATCAGGATTTGTTCCTTTAATTTTTCTTGGTTTTTTGGTTTATCTTGTGGTTTCAAAAGTGGAATCGACAGAACACATTGTTGAGAGCTGTGCTCGCACGAGTGGACCATGTGAGCGGGTGCTCAGTAGTGTGAGCCATGTTCTGCCCTCATTGTCCATCTCCACACACTGTCCATCCACAGACAGTCTATCCCTCAGGCACCCTCCGTCCCGTGGGCACCCTTCGTCCCCGGGCACAGTCTGTCCCACGGACAGTATCCATCCCTGGGCATCGTCTGTCTTGCAGGCACCGTCCATCCCTGGGCATTGTCTGTCCTGCGGGCACTGTCCATCCCTGGGCACCCTCTCTCTCACAAGCACCATCTGTCTGGGTATATGCACCCCAACATGCTACTGGTACACGTGACTGGGCATCCCTCTCTTCTTTCACTTTAGGAAGGCGGAAGAAAGTGTCAGGAAGAAGGAAAGGCCCATCCAAATCCTCTGTGAGAAGTAAGAGCTCTGGGGCCCGATCCAGGAGACGCCAGGCACGTGTGAAGAAGAGGAAGGGGCTGAAGCTCAAGGTGCGTGTGGCGTTGGTCAGTGCCATGTGTCACAGTAAAGGTTTCCTTCCTGGGTTTACTTTGCTGTCTGCCGACAAAACCAACGCTGGACAGCAGGCCGGAGATGGGCCAAGGCCAGGATGCTTAGGTTCTTCTGTCTGTTCACGGCACACTACACAGACCAGGGTCACCGTCCCTGGCCTTGCCCAGGCCTCCATTCCTTCGGCTTCAGCTGTGGGCTCCCTGCAAGCCCCTGCTCTGGCTGTGGGTCAGAACATTTCACCAAAGTCTGTAAAAAGCTGACTGCACCTTCGTTTGTGTGCCTGCCGCATCCTTGAGTGAGCTCGGCCAGAACACTGCTTTTCCCTCCCTGAGTAGAAGCTGAAGCTCTAGTCACGAGTGGGTGTCCCTCTTGCCATCTGTCCTTTTGTGCTGTCCCTTTTGGACCCAAGCCTCAGGTTCACTTTCTCTTATCCAGCCTTCCAGCTGCAGCCTTGCCTGGTCATTTCTCCAAGGAAAGACTCCTCCTGGGAGGTGGCCATCGAAACCACAGTGAATGTGTCATTTTTTTATATATAAATTTTGAGATGATGCCTGCTGAGGACCTTTATGTCAACTCCCCAAGTGGCTTTAAAAACCCAGCTGTTAAAAAAAAAAAACACAAAAAACCCAGCTGTTATTTGGCCTGCGCTCAATTTCTCTTTCTGCGTGTATGCTGTAAACAGGGCTTTGTGAGGGCGCACTGCGCCCTCCCAGCAGCAGTGCTGTGCTCTGTGGGTTGCTGAGGTTAGTTGATGGTCTAGGAGGTTCAGTAAAAGCTGAATGTATAAAGACCTTGTCCTAATTTTAGTGTTAATTAGTCTGAAGACTAAGGTGCTCCTGATACGTGCCATGGTCTTTGCAGTCAGTTGCTATGTATCGGAGAGTTGGACAGTGACTAGGGATGATAGAGAATTGATGCTTTTGAGCAGTGGTGTTGGAGAAGAGTATTGAATATACCATGGACTGCTAAGAAAATGAACAGGTTTGTCTTGGAGAGGGTGAAGTCGGGCTGCTCCTTGGAGGCAAGGATTCTGAAGCTTTGTCTGACATACTTTGGACATGTTGCAAGGAGGGACCTTGGAGAGGGACATCATGTTTGGTAGGGTGGAGGGAAAGCACAAGAGAGGAAGACCCTCGATGAGGGATTGATTCAGTGACTGGAGTAACAACGGGGGCAGGTATGTTGGAGATGGTGACATTGGCACAGAATAGGGCAGAGTTTAGGGCTGTTGTACATAGGGTCGCTATGAGTCACAGGCAACTCGATGGCACATACAACAGCGGCCCTTCCAGAACCTTCTGGCTCTAATCTGTTACCTGTTCCCTTTCCTTGTCACTCAGGTCAGAAAGGAGGTTACAGCCCGTGTTCGCATCGCCAGGACGCTGGGCCTCCAGAGGCCAGTGCTGGGTACCTCCTTTCCATCTGTATACAGACCTGCTGAGCCCTCGCTGGGGCTGATGAGGGCTGACATTGGGGCTGCATCACTGTCCTTGTTTGGAGATCCTCACGAGCTGGACCCCTTCGACAGGTGACTGGCCCTAGGTGCAGCTTCCCCCTTCCCAGCCCCTCCCGTGTAGGATAAGCTCTGGACACCAGTGACTGCTAGGTCCTGGTGAGTCACTTGTGGGACAGGCAGGGACAGGATTGAGGGGACTGGCCCTGTGCTGGCTCTTGGCATGTCCCCACTGAGCACCTGGGGGCCACAGAAGCCAGTGCTTCTACCCTGGGGTGTGAACCACACGGTCACCTGCTCTCTTGTCCTGTATCCCCTCGGCAGTGAAGAGATCCCCACGCAACCGGCTTCTCCTCTGAGTGCCAAGCGGAGAGCCCTTTCCCAGTCAGCACTGCGCTCGCACCAGCCAGTAGCCCGGCCTGTCTCTGTGGCGCTTTCCAGGTGCGTGAAAGGGGCATTCAGGGAGGGCTTCTGTAAACCCTGCAGCTGAGGCACTGGACTGTGTCCCAGTGTCTGTGACAGCTGGGTTTCCTGGGTCACAGCTGGGGCTGAGCACCACAGTGCCAGGCCTCCTGGGCCCTTTGCCAGGCTGGTCTGACTCCTCACAAGGTAGTATGTGGACGATCCAAGCCAGCATGTGGCTGAGGTGTCCTGGGCAGCAAGGCATGGTGGTCTCATCCCTTCTTTTCCTGTTGCTCTGCCACCTTGTGTGCGCCTCACGGCAGCAGTGCAACAAGGCTTCTGCTCCCTAAGCATGCTGTAGGCTGGGTAACAGTGGCGGGCTTGCTCACATCTCTGCAGGAGGGGTGTTCCTGCTGCTGCTGCCGCTCCAGAGCCCCAAGTGGAGGCCTCCCCTGTCCCCGACCTGCTGGGCAGCATCCTTTGCAGCCAGAGTTTCCTAATGATGGGTAGTTCTGACATTGTCATCCACCGAGACGGCTCCCTCAGTGCCAAGCGGGCAGGTGAGTTTCTGCGCTAAAGGGTGTCCACCATAGTGGCTCTGGAAAAAACATGCTGCTACAGATACATGCTGGCTGGATTCTGGCCCCCCTTAGCTTCTCAGCTGCTCATGTGCAGGAAGAATGTCTGTCTCCTCCCCCGGGGCCATCCCCACCCCCTAACCCTAACCCTCTGAAACCTCCATGCAAGGTACTCACAGCTCAGTGTGTCTTCAGAACCCTTCTCCAGCAAGTTGTTGGCCTCAGCAGCATGGAGGTAGACTCAAGGGGGCCTCCAGCTGTAGCAAGTGTGTAGGGCTGTGGGACCGTCCATGCCTCGGCCAGGAGGGCCCTACATCTGGGAGAGGTCATGTGCCTGGGGCCCTGCTTCTAGCTTTCACCGTCCCCCTCTCATTTCAGCTCCTGTGGCTCTCCAGCGCAGCTCCCTCAGCACATCCAGTGGGACTGGAGCCTCTGGGGCTGCTGACCCGCAGCCCTCAGTGCTGCCCTCAGGAACCCCAGTGGGCGCTCTCACCAGGAGTGGGCCCGAGGGCTCTATTCTTCCCTCTCACAGCGGGCCCGTCCTGGCGCCGGCCCCGGCCCCCAGAGCCCCTGCACAGCCAGCCAGGCCACCTGTGAGGCTGAGGCCCTCAGCACTCCCGAGCGCCACAGTCGTCCAAACTCAGAGCTTGGTCAGCAGTACTAGTGGCTCGTCTCATGGTGTCCCACCCCAGTTTAATGGAGACGGCAAACATGCTGTCTCTCCAGGGTCCACATCTCCCACAATCACCAGTAGAAACTCTCACTCCTCAGCCAGGCCTACAGCAGTGGGGTGCCCCCTGAGGCCAGCTCCCAGGAGAAGGGACATCTCTGAGCTACCCAGAATACCAAAGATCAAGAGAGATGACAGCAGTGGACAAGTGGACTCAACCCCTTCCCGCGGGCAAGGGCAGAGTGTGGGCTTCCCCAGCTCCTGCATCAGTCACCTGACAGGCAGGGAGGGCCCGGCACAGCCAGGCCGTGGGGTTCGTGCGGAAGGTCAGCCCAGGAGCCAGGGCCTGCAGGAGCCAGGGGCACCCCAGCCCACAGCCCCCAGTTCCCACAGCTGCCTGACCCCTGTTGGGGCCATGAGGGGAAAGGGCATGGGGTCGACTTTCGAGAGCTTTCGGATTAATATTCCTGGGAACACAGCCCACTCCAGCCGCCTCCCTGGCCCTGGGTTCTGTAACACCTTCCGGCCTGTAGACAACAAGGTGCAGAGGAAGGAGAACCCAGCGCCTCTCTTCTCACTTAAAAAGCCCAAGCAGCTCAAGAGTGAGATCTATGACCCGTTTGAGCCCACGGGCTCTGATTCCAGCTCCCCTGGCAGCAGCCCCGAGAGACTGGGCTCTGGCCTCCTGCCCTCAGAGATCACCCGCACCATCTCCATCCACAGCCCCAAGGCGCCAGCCTGCCAGACTGTGCGCTGTGTCACCTCCTACACGGTCAGGGGTGCTTTCGGGGAGCCAGAGCCCGCCCGCGGGACACCGTCCAGTGCGCGGCGTCTCTGCCGCGGTGCAGGGGCCGAGGGGCCAGAGGCGGCCAGGCTCGGGGAGGATGAGGACGTGGAGGACGCGCCCCGGCGCAGCGCATTCTTCGACTCGGAGGCGCGCACCGTCACCTGCGTGGTGGAGCCCGAGGCGCCTGACAGCCCCGACCCACCTGCGGCCACCACGCACCGCATTGTAGAGCTGCGCTCACCGTCCCCTCCCGACTCTGAGAGCAGCGCCTGCGGTCCGAAGGGGGCCCAGAGGGGCCAGGAGGCCACCAAGGAGCGGAGGAGGACACGGTCCCGCAGCCGCTCGGCGTCCCGATCCCGCGAGAGGAGCTCTCGGTCAGCCTCGCCAGAGGCCAGTGAGCCCCCCACCAGGAAGCACCGGCCCAAGGCCCGCGCCCGGCGCTCCTCCAGCGAGGGCTCCAGCAGCCGGGACCGGGTCAGGCGCAAGAAGGCCAAGGCACGCGAGCGGAAGCGGGGCTCGGGGGGCCGGGCCCGGCGGAGGTCCCGCTCGCCCAGCGAGGGCAGCTCGGCCCACGAGCACCACGAGGGCAGGAAAAAGAGGGCGCGCCGCTCCAAGTCCCGATCCCGGGGCCGCGAGGGCTCCCCACCCAGCAGCCTGGAGCGTCCGCGGAGGCACAAGCGCCGCCGGGAGCGGAGCCGCGATCGGAAGGATGGGGCCTCCCGTCCACGTGGGCGGCGGCGGTCCCGGGAGCGGAGCAAGTGGAGGGCCCGGTCGTCGAGCACAGAGCACAGGTTCCGGGAGCAGCGGCGGCCCCGGTCGCGCGACAGGCAGCCCCAGACCCGCTCCCCAGACAGGAAGCTGCCTGCCAAAGAGGCGTCCCCGCCGCCTGCGCACGATGTGCCAGGGCAGGACCGTGATCCCAACACTGGGCCGTCTGCCTCGGCCCAGCCATTGGTGACAGCCACACCCTTGCCCCCGGTGCCCGCGGTTGAGGAAGGGGAGGCTCCTTCGGAGGCCCCCGCGGCGTCGGAGGCACCAGTGGAGATGGTGCCTGATGATATGGACTACGTGGACTCGGTGGAAGCGGGCCATGTCTTCGACGATTTCTCCAACGACACGGCCTTCTTCCAGCTAGACGACATGAGCTCCCCACCCTCCCCCGAGAGCACCTCTGACTCCTCCCCAGAGCGGGCCCTGCCCAGCCCAGCCCCACCCGGGCCGGTTCCTGCCCTGTCCCCAGCCCTACCCGCACCGTATCAGCCACACAATGTGGACCTGGACACCAGCCGAGCTCTGGCGGTTATCCAGCGGGAGGTGTCCCTGATCCACGGTGATGACGACCCACAGACCCCATCTCTGACAGAGGGCGCCCCGGACAGGGTTTCCCTTGGGCAAGATGGGATTGGGGACTGCGGAACAGTGGGCATGGTGTCTACTGTGAAGGAGGTGGGGTCTAGAGTAGGCGAGGGGCCCAAGCTAGAGGAAGCCGCCCCTCAGACGTCCCTGCTGCGCTCAAAGGCACCGGTGAAGAGAGTCACTTGGAACCTTCTGGAGGAGGGGGCCAGCGAAGGCCGAGCAGAACGTGAGGACCTAGCGTTTTGGGTTTTGTTTTTTTGGGGGGAGGGGGGTTGGACGCTGATTATGGCTGGGGACTGTTGCTTCTGGGACTGATTTGGGTGGTCAACAAGCACCCACTACAACTTCTGCCTCAGGTTCACTGCTGACCAGGTCACAGAAACCCTGGGAGACAGAGGACTCCAGGCCTGCGGTGGAACACCAGGCTCTGCCCTTTTCAGACCTGCTGCCTTCCAGCCAGGCGCTTCCTGAACCTGTGTTCCCTGAGGTCGACCCTGCTCAGGTGAGTGTGTGAGAGGACCCTGAGAGACAGAGACAGTCAGCTAGGGCTGGGGGCAGTGAGACTTCAACCTTTCTGCTCAGCTGTTTCCAGGGAGGGTCTCCCTTCACGGGCAGGGTGAGCTGGGGGCAGGGCCTTGTCTGGCTTATGTTCTGTCCTCTTGCCAGGTGTACAGCCCTGCCTTGCCCTCAAGTGGCCCACCCCATGCACCAGTCAGCCAGCCCGGTGTCCAGATTTTCCTGCCAAGCAGCCTCCCTTTGGCAGGCTGTGGGGGTGTCCATGCCCAGGCCTCGGTTCCCACCACCCTGACCACAGTCTCAGAGCCAGTCCCAGTCCCCACAACCAATGATGTAGAGGAGAAAGCTGCTCCCAAACCCACAGTGGAGAAGGCCAAGAACGAGGAGGTAAGGCCTGCCTGCCCAGCCCCTCCTGGGTGGGAAGAGGCCCAAGCCTGCTGCTTCCCCATGGCCGCACCTCTGTGGCCACCTCCCCGTGGCTGCTCCTCCATGGCCTCACGTGTTTCCTTCTAGTACATGAAGAAGCTACACATGCAGGAGCGTGCAGTGGAGGAAGTGAAGCTGGCCATCAAGCCGTTCTACCAGAAGCGGGAGATTACCAAGGAGGAGTACAAGGACATTCTGCGCAAGGCCGTGCAGAAGGTTCCTCCAGGGCCCGTGGACCGGGTGGTTGGGACCAGGGGTGGAGCCCTTCAGGTGTCAGGGTCAGACTCCAGGTGGTGGTGCCCCGTCCCCTGAAAGTGGCAGGGAAGTTCCTTTGCTTGACTACTTGCCCTGCTGTTTCTCCTACAGACAGAATGTGGGAGTGGTGTCAGCACTAGGGGCTTAATAGGGGTTTCTGCAAAGACAGGGTGCACGTGGGGATTCCAAGGCCTGGACTGTGGGACCCTCCACTGACAAGGCCATGTCACTGTGTGTCACCCCTTAGATCTGCCACAGCAAAAGCGGTGAGATCAACCCCATGAAGGTGGCCAACCTGGTGAAGGCCTACGTGGAGAAGTACAGGCACATGCGCAAACACAAGAAGGCCGAGCCAGAGGAGGGGCCGCCTGCCCAGGAGGTGGAGAGCTGAGGCCACCTGCTAGCCTGCCCCGCCCCAGCTCTGAAGATCTGACTGCTCACCCTTTCAAACTGGACTTTTTTAATGTATATTATAGAGATACACTGTTTCCATTGTGTTCTAATTTATCAAAAACGGATTATCTTTAGAAACAACGTGGATTGGCTCGGTATTTGAGCGAGTGAAGCTTTGAGTGTGGCTGAGCGCATGCGCGGTGGATCTCTGGTGGCGGGATCGTTGTTGCCGAGGTGCTTTGGAGCCGCAGGACATGCAGGCCTGTGTCCTCCTCAGCCCTTGCTGTGGTGGCGCATTGCTGCAAGCGCCATCAGTTCCTCGCAGATGGGGGGGGGGGCTTTCTCTTGTTTCCTACCCTCTGCTTTGTCCAGCATGACGTCCTTCTCTGGGGATTGGCCTTTCCTGAGACATCACCATAAGGAGCTGGGCAGGATACAGGCCAGCAGGTGGGCTTCTCTGACCCTGGAAGCCCCTCCCTCTGGCCTGTTTATTTTTGTATTGGCTCTGAAAGCGAAGGAGGTGTACTGGCCAGCCCTGACACGGCTGGCTCTTGAGATGGTCTTTATTCAGTTGGGGACTGCTGGGTCGAAGCTAGGCGGGCTGTCCTAGCTCCATGAGGAAGCGGTCGATGTCTTCATACAGGCTGTTGAAGCTGGACAGGCAGAGGCCAAGGCTGCTGCTGTCCAGGGAGGACGCACCCTCACGCTGCACGCCCTCGTGGTACATTCTGCAGAGCCAGGGCTCTAGCTGCAGGAGGGAGAGGGTGGGGAGCGGTCAGCCGGAGGGGAACAGAGCCGTGGAGGGGGCGGGCTGGTGGTCCTCACCTTCACCAGGATCAGACATTTCTCCTTGGGCCTCCCAGCGGACAGGTCCTGTCCAAAGCCCAGGTAGATGGTGTATTGGGGGGAGCTGGGGCGTCGTCGCTCGCGGAAGTCCATCAACTCTGCGGGCAGGGGCGAGGGCTCCAGTGAGCAGGAGGGCAGGGCCGCCACCCCCTGCCAAGGGCCCCACAACCTGGGGCTGACACACCACTGACCCCTGAAGAAGACTCCGAAGTCGAAGATGCAGGTTTCGGTGTTCCGCGGCAGCAGGCTGGAGCCCGAGGAGCTGCTCCCCGGCCTGCTCACCTCCCAGTACACGTGGCACTTGCCCAGTCGCAGGGCCCACAGGCACTGGCCGCGCAGCTCCAGGCGCAGCCCCGGGGCCACGTGCTGCAGCAGCGTCTCGGTGTAGTGCAGCTGCTTCTGGTCAGAGAGCTGCTCGGGGCTGGGGAATGTCACCATTCGCCCTGCTGCGGCCTTGGCAGTGGGGCCGGGTGCGCCGTACAGAATCACGCAGCTCGGGCCCACCGTCTCCTGCAGCACCGGTTGGCCTTTATACATGATGGTCACCTCCAAGTCCACCAGACTAGGCTCTGCAAAGCAGACTGTGAGCCACTGGACCGGAGGGCCCAGCCCCGCCCTCGCTGTGCCTCCTGCCTGGACAGCTCACCTGTTGGCCGGACCCAGGAGCAGGGAGAGGGCGTGGCTTGTGACCACACCTCCTTCGTCGGCTCCAGGGCGGGGTTTGGGCCGGCATCTACGGAAGGAGGAGCTCCCTGACATTAGTGCCTCGCCTCCTCTGGCCCATAGTTCAGGCCTCACTCACCTGTCATTGCTTGGGGCAGGGCAGGACCACTGGGCACCGCCTCCGCTGCCCACTGTGCGGCCAGCTCCCCGAGGGCGACTGTTGGGCCTGAGGAAAGGAATATGGAGGTCACTGACCCTCATCACGGTCCCACTGCCCTGTGGCTAGCAGCTGCCACTTCTGAAGGTCATCCCCCTAACACCTGCTCCTTGAGACCCTGGTGGGCAGCGCGTGATCTCCACATTGCTCCGAGTCCATGTCTCTGCCTCTCTGGGACACTCCCTTCCTCCCCTGTTCCTCCGGCCCCCCAACGCCTCCACTCACCCGGAGCTTGTTGAGGGGCTGGGTCCACAGTCCATGGCACTTCCAGCAGCTGGTCCTCGAGGTGGCTCTGTTGCACAGCTTGGAGCAAGAGATCTCTGGTCCCATCAGCAAGGATGGGAAAAGGGCTCGGAGTGCAGGGCTCAGAATCCTGCCCTGCTGCCCCAGCCCAGTCCAGCACGGGCTCCAGCCTCTCTCCACCTCCCAGGAGTGGCCCCGAGGGCGAGCCCTGTAAGGGAGACGGGGCCAGCATAAGCAGACTCCAGCCCACGTAAGAGAGGTGGTCCTGGTGCCCAGGAAACCAGAGTTGCAGGGACCTTACCCTCACAAGCCAGCCATCTACTGAGGCCTCTTCCTTCCTGGTGCTGCCTGGACCTTGGGAAAGAGGTTATCAGGACCTGAGACCACACACCCCTAAGTGACCACAATGAGAGTGATGTGGTGTGTCCTCTGTCCACCAGCTTTCCCTCTGTCACCACCATCGACCCTGATCCCATGGCGTAGGTGTGGAGGGGTGAGAACTTCCTGCTGTCGCTCCCTGCCGCTGTTGTCCTGCTCTGAATCCATTGAGGGCCGCCTCCCACCCCAGCGGTTTTCGGAGGCCATAAATTTCTATGGGAAGGGATTGCCTCTTTCTCCCATGAATCAAGTGGTGGGTTCAACACTCAATGGGACAAAGCACCGAGCCTCCTCCGGTTGGCCCACCCTCCTCCCGGGCGCCCCGCGGGTGCGTCCTCACCTCCCCGTCCAGGGGCAGGGCTGATCCCATACACCTTGTGCGGGTCTGTGGGGTCCCCCGAGTTATCCTGAAGCATCTGGAACAGCTGCGTGCTGCGCAGGGCGCAGCGGAAATTGGTTTTCCATCCGGCGCGCTCTGGGGCCTCGGGGGGCGGCTGAACAGTCCCGTGGTGGCTGGGCGGCCACCTGCCTCGGGCCACCGCCCACGCCTGGGAGGGAAGAGAGGAGGAGACGTGGGTGGGCCGAGTGCTCGAAGGCCCAGGCCGCCCTCTGTCACCAGCCGGTGCCGGACCTTGAAGATGCGCGCATCAGCCTCGTCCAGGTCCTTCCGTCCGAAGTGTTTCCAGGGCACACGGAAGCGTGTGCGGGCAGCGTCCAGCCACCGCAGCCCCTCGTAGCGGCCGCTGTTGACCGCACTCAGAAGCCACTCTCCGAACAGCACACGCGGGGCCGCCCTGCCGGCAGGAGGGGGCGTCAGGCCAGGCATGGCGCGCCCGAAAGGTCCCCAGAGGCCCCGGGACTAACCTCTCCGACACCGCGGCCATTGCTCCCTCTGCAGGGACAGAGCAGACCGAGTGGGCTGGGTGACGGCTGTGTGTTCAGGTGGTCGGGCTGTGACCGCAGGAGTGACGCGGTGTTGGGGGGTGGGGTCACAGGCGTGGACTGGCAGGGGCAGCCACGGACATTGCCTAGGTGGACTTCCTGGCAAAGGTGGCTGTGGATGTGACTGCAGATGTGGCCAGTGGTGACATGTGCGGTCACAGTTGTTAAGCCAGAGTCCAGCCTGGTGCTGCGGTCAACCCAGTGGACCCTACAGACACGGGGAATAGTCACGCGGAGGAAGGGGGCAGGCAGGCCAGAAAGCGAAACCGCGAGGTCGCAGGAAAACGAAACCTAACTGTGAGACTGACAGGGCCTCCTGCCCACCACCCAGTGCTGTCTCCGCCCTCAGGGAGGGTGGGGGGGGGGGGGTCGCCCCAAAGTGTTTTCATCCCACAATACTGACCTCCCGGCAGCAGGCCCTCCGCGGCCCTGGTGTCCAGCCCTAATCCGATGCCCACCCCCTTCCGATGTCCACCCCCCTCCAATGCCCTACCCCCAATACACACCCCCTTCTGATGTCCAACCCCTTCTGATGCCCACTCCCCTATCTGATGCCCACCCCCCATCCGATGCCCACCCCCCATCCGCTGCCCAAGCCGCACCTCTGATCCTCACCCCCCATCCGATGCCCACCCCCCATCCGCTGCCCAAGCCGCACCTCTGATCCTCAGCTCCAGGCCTCCTCTCAGCCCCGACCGATCGCCGAACCCCTCAACACCCAGCACTCCGTCCATAACCCCCATTGTACACTTGACCTCCGGCCTCTCTCAATCTCACGGATCCCGCCACTCCACCTGCAAGTACCTGGTTTCCCGTCCCTCTGCTCCCGAGGCGCCCACCCTTCTAATAGCTCCCACGGGAGGTCTAGCCTCCGTGCATTCCCGCGTGGACCAGGGTTCCCTGATACCTGGATACCCGAGGCGCTGGCTCGGGGAAAGTGTCTCCTGCTCGCTAACAGAGCAGGTGGCTTTTATAGCGGCGGGGCGGGGCCGCGCGGGAGGGGCGGGGCCACACGAGAGAGGTCTTAGTGGGCGTGGCCTGGCCTGGAGCGGGGCTATGCGGGGAGGGGCTGTGCATTGTGGGCAGGGCCGTACGGTAGGGGGTGGAGCGACAGGGAGGGAGCCCTCCGTGGTGGGCGGGGCCAATAGGAGAGGCGCGCCGTGGGCGGGGCCTCGAGGTCTCGGTGGCGGAGGAGGCGTGAGTCAGTGTCCAATGCTGGTGTCCCCCTGCCGCTCCTGGCCCCGCGCACCCCCTGACCAGCGCACCTGGGCCCCACTCCCTGCCCCGCGCACCCCTCGGCTCCACGCCCCGCGAGCCCGCTCCCTCCTCGGCCAAGGGCCCACCTTGTCCACCCCCTGCCCAGGCCACAGAAGTGTCCCCAGACCCCGCCTCAGAAGGAAGCCCTTCCCTCTCTACGGGGTTGCGGGGTCCCTCAGGCTTTGGGTAGGGAGTCGTTTTTCCAGGGGCTGTGGCTAGACTCGGAGAGGGACTTCCCACCGGCGCAGCTGGTCCGGGGGGGGCCCACCGCCCCACACTCGCCCTCCTTCCCTCTGCACCGCAGCAGGTGGTATTGAGGAAGCCTGGGCAGCGACTTGGAAACGTCACTTTATTCTGTGTGCGGCTGGGAGGGGGCGATGTGGGGGCCCAGCCTCGATGGGCGGGCTCACTAGATGTAGGTGGAGTCAGCTTCGGCCGGGCCTGTGTCGTCGTCGTCGCTGTTCTCACTGCCCGTGTCGCCGTCGTCCAAGGTGGGCGCGTTGAGGACCACCACATCCGCCTCGGCCCCAATGTCCTCACCGAACCACACCGCCTTGTAGCCACCCTCGGCCCGCCGATCCTTGGTCAGAATGGACCTCACGGCAGTGGGACTGCTCCCTGCAGGCGCCGCCGCCGTCGCTGCGGGGTTGGGGGCCCCCGGACTCAGGGGCTCAGGGCTGGGGGCTGCCTGGCGAGCGTGCCCCAGGCTGGCTGGCGCAGGAGGCTGGAGTTCCGGGGGCGGGGGCGAGGCTTCCGGCGGGGGTGGACTGGGGGCAGGCGCCCAGTTGGCCTCGCTGTCAGTTTGCAAAACTGGGTTGTCAAAGACTAGAGGGAGCGTGTCCTGTGGGCGAGGCCACAGCCGTGCAGGTCAGCCAGAGCCCGGAGCTCGGCGCCCTCCACCTGACCTCAGACACCTGCGGTGGCCCCTTGTCCTCAGCTCTTCTGCTGCTGTCTGTCTTTGGAAGCCTTGGGGCACATTCCACTTCTCCCAGCGCCAAAGCATCTCATGTCCTGTTCTCTTTCTCACCTCCACGCCCCATCTCTCTGCCCCAGCCCTGGCATCTGCGTCCTTCCCTCTCCATGTCTGTCTCTCCACCTCCCCCTGGAGAACCCCCTCCACCAGCCCTGGCTCACCTGTGCTTTACCACAGCAGCACTTGAACTTGTGTCGGTAGTGTTTGTGGATGAGGACAGCGAGGGCCAGCAAAGCCAGCAGCAGGACGGCACCCAGCACCCCACCAACGGCTGCCATCTCAACTACTGAGAAGCCCTGTTCTTCAGTGTCACCACCGCCTGGGCCATCACCTCCTGCAGTGCTGCCTTCCCCGCTCCCAGGGGGCCCTGAGGACAACAGGCACCCAGCGATGCCTCTTAGGCCAAGCTCATAGCAGGGCCTCACTCCTGCAACCCACCAGCAAGGAGGCGCCCAAATGTAACAGGGAGGAGCATTGCGGGGCAGCGAGTGCTGGGCCCCGTATCTGGTCTCTGCCCACCCTGTCCAGACCAGAAGTGGCCCAGTGCATGCCTGGCAGAGGTCAGGCTGCGGAGCTACAGAGACTGCAGGGTTAGGGTCCAGAACGAAAGAGGAAGGGGCTACCTGAGGATCCTGGAGACGTGCTGGAGCTGGAGGTTGTTGGCTGAGAGGGTCTGAGCTCCGTGGTCAGTGCTGAGCCTCCACCGCTGGGCGTGCCTGGTGAGGACGAGGTGCTGGCTCCCCCACTGGGAGTCTCCCCACGTGTGGTGGAAACAGGGGGCCTCACAGAAGTGCCTGAGGGTGGGTGTGGACCAGTGCCCCCACCAGAGCTGCTTGTAGGGGGGCCCTGAGAAGGCCCAGGGGGCCCCGTGGGCTTGGGGGGTATTGGAGGAGAGGGTCCTAGCTCTGGAGTTGACTCTGAGCTCCCACTGCTGGGTGTGGCTGGAGGGAGAGGCCTGCTGGTTCCCACGCTGGGATGGCCTCCAACAGTAGTAGAGGCTGCTGGTCTTAGGGTTGTGCCTGAGGGTGGGGGCGGGCCCGTGCTCCCCCCAGAGCCGGTGGGAGGGGGCCCGGGGGAGGGCTCCTGCGTGGGTCCTGGGGGCCTGGAGCCTTCCATGGTGGTGCTGCTGGAGATGCTTGTTGTTCTTCCGGCCTCCGAGGGTGTGGGGGATGTGAAGGGCCCTGGGAGCCAGGACAGGGTGGGGCCTCAGCCCAATACCCATTCCTTGGGCTGGAGCCAGCCCTGAGCTGCCCTCAGAGAGCTCACTGGGGGACCCCCTTAAGGAGCTCACCTGGAGTGGACACCTGCTCCTGAACCTGTATTTCCACCACAGTGGTCACCCTGGCGGAAGTCCCCATGTTTTTGGCCTCCACCTGGGTGGGAAAGCTGTTTGTACCTCCTTCTCCACTCCTGACCCAGGCTCTCTGAACAAGGAGCAAGGCCTCCCCCCGCACCTCTACATAGAAGACTCCCTCTGCCTCCACAGCGACCCTGGTAACCATGGTCTCCCCTTCCATCCTGAAGACTGAGCTGTTGGTAACATTGTATGTGATGGCAGAGTTGAAGTCCTGGAGGTGAGTAGCAAGGGGTCAGGAACAGTCAGCACACCGCGTATGGGCACAGACAGCATGCATGGACGTTCATATGTTCATGGAATCGCACACAGACACTTGAACGTGTATACACACATGTGCACACACATGCACACTGTTGTGTACACACAGGAAGTCACACGCACACATGCACTCGTCATATGCAAGTCCCACACACAGGCAGGAGGGCCCTTCTCAGCCAGCACTGGGCATCCTCACAAACACTTCTTACCGGGAAGTCGGGGTCTTGAGCCTGGACCCTCAGAGGCTCCGAGGGGTTGGAAGCATTCTTGATGACGGCTCCAATGCCCAAGCCCAAGGCCGTGGTGCCACGGTACAGGCTCTGCGGGAATCTGGGGGGACTCCCAGCAGTTGCAAGGGCCTTCACTAAGAGAGTGGTGACCGAGTACCGGTCTGCGTTGTCTACCTGCTCAGCCTGGGAGTGGAGGCAGCACTCAACACCAAGTCTGGACCCCACTGCTGGGCAGTGGAGACTTAGCCAGACCCCACCCCCAGTCCTGTGCCGAAACCTACCCTGACCACCAGCTGGAAGGTCGTGGGCCTGGGAATGCTTGTGGTCACAGTAAGGTTGCCAGAGTCCGCATCGATGAAGAACACGCCATCCTGGTTGCCTGGGGGAGGCCAGCTACTCAGTCCTGGCCCCTTGCCTGGGGTCCATGGACGTCCTCAGCCCGCATGAGCCCACAGTGGGATCAGGTTCTGTCCTGCCAAGACTCACCCGTCACAATGCTGTAAATGATGGGCTGGGAGATTCCTGAGTCTCCGTCCACGGCGTAGATGGGTCCGGGACGTAGTGTGAGGGGGTCTGGCTGCGGAATGTGGGACAGGGCGAGGGGGCGTGAGCTGGTGCTGGTGGCCCAGCATGGCCATTCCTCTCATTTCACCTTGAGGGGCTCTGAAATAGATCACCACCTGGAGCAGACCTTGCCCGCAATATGGGGGTCTCCTCTCCATCTCTCCTGGCCCCCCAGCTCAGGTGCCCCACCTGCCACGTGGGCCTCTGGGTGCTTCAACCCAGGGAGTGTCTAAGTGGGTGTCAAACTGCTGAGCTTCACCCTTGAGCAAAGCAAGTAAGGCCCCCCAGGCTACCTCCCACCCCCACCTCCACCTCCCAGGACAGCTAGGGTCCTCCTCTGCTCGAGCAGGAGTCCAGAAGGGATTTGAAGTGGGAGAGGCTAGCCAGTGGAGGAAAGTGACCATTTGACAATAGACCTCAGCGCTGGCCCACAGCACTCCCTGATGTACCTGGACCCTGAGAACTGAGGGTGCTTAGAAGCCACCAGCCTAAGCCACCCCTATTACCAGTATCTGTCCTGTAGGGACTGCCCCCTCATATTTGGCCTGAATGCAGACAAAACCGTCAGAGTAAGAGCAGGGGAGGAACCAGGGTGGGCGCAGGTCAGCTGGCAGGATGCGCAGGGTCAGCGTGGCAGTGGCCGTGTGGCTAGGAGTGACGTTCTCTTCCTGTGTGTCCTGTAATACCCACCACACACAAAGTCAGGCCGGGGCCAGGCTAAGGCAGCTCTGACAAGGACTCGAATGTCCAGGACTCGGGGAGAGTGACCAGCTCACCCGGGCCAGCAGGCGGAAAGTCATGCTTGGACACTTGTCAAAGTCCAGTCGCTTGTCCAGCTTCAGGGAGGGGTTGGTTGGACTCAGCAAGGAGAAGAAATCACTGGCACCCTGGGAAGAGGAGGCCAGCCTGAGACCCTGGGGGGAGGTGGGGAGGCAGGCCGCAGACTTGAGGGGCACTGTTGGGCTCACGGACCGGGGTGACTTCTTGGAGGGTGTAGAACAAGGAGGTGTCAGTTTGGTCTGGGTCCTGAGCCTCCAGCTCTGTCGCAGGGATGACAACGGAGTTTATCTTGGCATCCTGAGGATGAAGAAGGGGCTTGTTCCTGCCACATTCATGCCCCTCGGTGCCCTGTGCCCATCCCACGTGCCCATCCCCTGCTCCATTGAACTCACCTCACTCACATTCAAAGTTGTGATGTTAAAGGGGAAGAAGGGGGCGTTATCGTTGACATCATTCACAGAAACTATCACAAGCAGCTGAGTCACCTGAGACAGCAAGGGGTGGGTGGAGTCATTTCCTGCAGGTGCCTGACTCATCGTGGACCTGAGCCCTGGGGCCCTGCTCAGGCTCATTCCTCATTCCTTCCTCCCTCCCTCCTCCAACTTATCCATCCATCCATCTTCCTCCCTCCTCCCTCCCTCATCCATTTTCCCTCCTCATCCATCCTCCCTTACTCCATCCATCCTCCCTCCCTCCCTCCCTGCATCCTCCCTTCTCTCATCCTGCCTCCCTTCACCCTCCCTCCATCCTCCCTCCATCCCTCCTCCCTCCATCCCTCCTCCATCCTTCCTCATCCTCCCTCCTCTATTCTCCATCCTCCCTTCATTCTCCCTCCACCCTCCCTCCATCCTCCCTCCTCCCTCCATCC